TCATCAGCCATCTAAAAGCATATTTCCCCACACCTATAGTTCACACTGTTTGTGCTTAGAGAAAATTCGGTTAGAAGTGTTTTTCTTTTTCTTTTTCCTGCAGATTGACCGTCAAACTCAGTCAGTGAACATCTCACAGAGTCAGCGCTTTCACTGTGGGCTCAAGTTTTAGTGGTGAGAACATCACTTTTATTTGCTCTGTAAAAATGGTATTTAAAAATAAAATCCACTTAAAGGTGGAGCCAGTGATTCTGGTGAATATCTCCTCAAGATCTTATTCCTGTCCATACTCTGGTGTTAATACACAGCCTAGACTCTTCAAATGGTCGGGCATGTAAACAAGAGGGCCCACCGTAACTAGCTACCTATACAACAGCGCTGCCATAAATTCTACTTTTATAAAGCTTATTTATTTTCCATTTTTGTAAACATTGTCAGATGTTATTCTACTTTATGCCTATTATTGAGGTTATATTGGTTGGTTGTGGTGTACTGGAGTAAATTCTGGAATTTCTGACAGCTTGTCATGCATTTCTGACTTGTACATTTGGTGATTTTCTTATTAGATATGAATACTTATTTGACTCAATTTCTCCTTTGCAGTGAATGATGCTGCGAGTGTGACAAACCTTTGCTGTGAATGTGGAGATGTAAGGCCTGTCCTTCAGTTTTACCAAGTAGGTCCCAAGTATTAAAGCATGTGAACTGGTCGATGAGTATCCCTTGGCTGCCTATCTGGTTGGGTGTGTGCGGATGGTGACATTGAAGAGAGCAATCTGTGTCTTGAGGTAAGGTTACTCATGATAAGATGAAACAAAACATCTCGCACACTGCTGGGCTCTGAGTAACATTTTGAGCACACATGTTCTTCATCAGACAAGTTTTATGCAATAAGTAAGTTGTACATTAGAGCCCAGCAGTGTGCAAGATGTTTTGTTTTATTTTATGCTTATCACCTGCCCTCTTTTTGTTTTTCGATGTCTGCATACACCCATCTTAAAGGTCAAAGTATAGCTTTAAGGTTACAAATTAAACACTGCACGGGCACGTACATGCAGTCACGTGAAGAGGAGGGACTGCTTTGTGTGACTTTGAATAACAGTGGGATCCAAAATTCACATGGAGAATGGAGCAACTGTACATTGTGCCTACATCTCCTTTTCTAGTTTTTTTTTCTCCAACTGAATGTTTTTCAGAATTTGTTAATCACATTCAAAATATACAAATAAAGCATAGAGACAGTCAAATTACATTTTAATGATTACATGAACCTCTTGAAACAAAACTTATTCTAAACTTTTTCTTTATTTACTCTTTCCTAACAGACAGTAAAGTGAGACCATGACAACTTCAGCTATTCTCAGAGTGATCCTGGGGCCAGACAGCAATCAGAGGGTGGCGTTTCCTGTTGGCCTGCCTTTGACTGTGACTGAGCTGGAGACTGAGATTAAGAGTCAGTGTAAAATAATGGAATCCTTTCGGCTACAGTTCATGGACACCCTTTTTGGCTGTGAGTTTATGAACTTAACTTCTATGGAAGAAATCCAAGACAAAGCTACAGTCAAGGTCATCTTCACATCATGCCAACCTCAAGATGCTGATGCAGATCAAGGTGTGGGCTGTTTCTCCTTTCCACCAAACAGTACTCCTGATGACACCACATCTTTTTCTGGTGACAGCACGGTTATTCTAACATCTCCAGAGTCCACTTCTTCACGGTCTTCCTGGCCAGATACATTTCATGTTCCCTGTTTTTCTTATGATGCACAGTTCAAGCTTGAGAAAGCTCATGAAGCTTTCAAAGAAAATGGGACGCTGCTGATCCCTGATCCAGAGCTGAAGTCTGATATACTGGAGGGGTTGATTCAGGAGGTAGTTCACCACAAAGTCTATCTCACAGACAGGGAGTTTGATCAAGTTGCAGAGGCACTCATCATGAGGCATCTATGTTTACAAGAAAAAGGCTCAGACATTGGCTATGAGGGTTGGAAGTCCAGCCTCAAATACAAGTTGTCCAACTACCACACACATCTCCGAAAAGTGGGATGTCCGGCTTACTGCCCCTCTCTTCCACCCGGAGAAAGTCAACAGTCCCTGGAGAAGATGAGGGTTGAACTCCTTTCAGATATCAAGAAGCTTAATAATAGAGAGACAGTTCGGCTTGAAATGGAGAAAACATTTGCATCACAAAGTCATTCCTGATGCTCCCATGGCTTGGTCTCTTCAATGTAATGGAGGCCAGAAGAAAAGTCTTTAATAATGTTGTGACTTGTGCTATAGATAGTATGTTCAACTGTTAGACTAATGCTTGGCTCCATTAGGATGTAGTTCAAAATTTCCCCGTTTTTTTTCAGAAATTAAATGACTAAACAAGTGCACGCAGTGATGGTCGGACGGTGTAGTTTGGGAGTAACGCATTTTGTGTCTATGTGTTAAAAAATGGTTTTATGTTTCAGAGAAACGCGGAGTTTAAGCGTGTCACAACTATGCCTCTTCAGTCAAGGTTTCTATCACAGCTTGACCTACACTCTGCAAGCCTGTTTGAGAAGCGTTCGGGGCAGCAGGGCAAAAAGCTCAAAGACATGGCGGCCATGATGACGGTAAGAACTTTTTAACTATGGAGTTATAAATTGCATTTCTTCTTTATTTATTTATATATAAAAACACGGTAGATAAGGTGGGAGGCGTGTGTTGTCTAGGCAGCCGCCCAAACTATAAAGTGCTGCAGGAAACCCTGGCTTTAGTTTTTCAATGATCGATTTGTTTTCATAGGTGAACAGATGAGACTGCATTCTATTTGGTTTTCAGATTGTTTATGCAGATGCCAGTCCCACAAGTGAACTTTTACAGAACAGTTTCATTTTTGTCTTTGCCCACTTTCATCCCAGCTACTGACAATTTGAGTTAAAATGTTTCTATGCTCTTTGTTCTTATTCTTTAGGAAGACATCGATGGTGGCACTTTGTCTTTGAGATTGAGATTTAGTTTCGCTCTCAGCGGGAACGTTTACCGCCTTCTCTCAGAACACAAGATAATTCATCGAGCTGATCACGATCTCAGTCGGCGTGTGGTCAGAAAAAAAAGAGGCGTTCATGTAATTTCATATTAAACCTCGGTGTTTTGGCCTCGATATCAAAGAGCGTTAACTGTTTGACCCCCAAGCGGTGTTTGTCTGAAAGTAACTGAGTGCTAAAGTTACTTAGCGGGAGACGCTGTCGTTTAATGTAATATATTCATGTTTTGTGCACAGGCTGTTCCTTCTGCAGAGCGGTGAGGTGTAAACAAACAAAACATTTTGACAAAATGTCGACTGAATCGTGACAGTCGATGTTTTCAGAAACAGAACTCAGAAGTCGGCCATTGTTGTTGTAGTCCACCTCCTCGCTCACGACCATCGACCGGAACTGAAATGCACACGCCGTAGAGTCTACGTTTTTAGAGAAGCAGCGTTTTCCAGTCGACACGTCGACGGAGACGCTGCTGTAAAGCAACACACGACATCTTCCATGTTTTCATTGGTGTCTGTCACGTGTTTCCAGTTCATTATAAGAATAAGAATAATAGTGCATTACACTTAAATAGCACTTTTCTGAATCCTCAAAGACGCTCAACAAAGAACAACAAGAAAACAGCCTTGAATGGGGTGATACTGATCAGCAGTGAACAGAAGGAGACTCTCCCTCTACAGACGACACAGAGATGCAGAGGAACCTTCAGATCTGGACCAGAACCCAAACCCAGGATAGAGAGGTTCAGTGAAGGTGGTGTTGAAGGTGTGGAGGTGGATCAGTGTGTCGGAGGAGACGCTGTAGAAGGACAGAGAGCCAGCAGTGTGGTCCAAATACACCGCTGCTCTGTGCGTGGTGGAGGGTGAGGAGATAGAGGGGCGGGTAATAAGTGTCTCCTTGTTATTGTGAAGGACATAGTAGAAAACTCCACGACCATTATCATAGCAGGTCAGACTCCAGGACTGATCGTTTCTTCCAGACTCATTGTTTTCTTTCCTGCTGATTCCTCTGTAACTCACTGATATAATCACTCCTTCTGTCCACTCAATCTCCCAGTAACAGCGCCCAGTCAGACCTTCTCTACACAGCAGCTGAGGACAGTTAAATCTGTCTGGATGATCAGGATATAACACAGAGTCCTTCACCTATATCCCCTTACTGTTGTTGTCAGACAGTTGGATTCTGTGGTTTACCGTGTTGGTGTCGATTGTGAGTTCACAGGAATCTGAAGAAGAGAACGAGACACGATAAAGATGGCGTTATGAAATGATCATGGATGATTACTGACGGACTCAATCAATGGATTTTCATTAACGTAGCCACAAACCATAACAGAAGCAAGACACATTTCAAAAGAGCGACAGTCGGTGTTAGAAAGCAGGATTAGTGTAGACCCAGAGTCTGTTCCCCCTGACGTGAAGGAAGCTCTGCGTTTCCTACTCCAGAAAGGGAGGTCACTCAAACCCGAGAAAGAGGCGTAAAGGCCGGCGTATACTGTATGACTGAATCGTTACGACGCACGACCACAGCTCACGCTTTCTGTGCTCACAAATCAGGGCGGAGCGTTCACAACTTTCAACAGAAAAGCTCCCACAGACGGAGGTGGATTTCAGTTGTCTCGTATTATTTGAGGTGAGTTCTGATTGATAACTCCTCCGTGTGAATGTGAGTGGAGGGGGGTTGGAGGTGTGTCTCTGGAGGAGGCGTGGCCTAACAGCAGTTTGTTTTGGTTTCATGCTGGAGCTCAAGGGCGACATCTACTGGATCAAAAAGTTGAAAATTCTTCCTTCAATAAAATGTCGACTGGGAGACGTGACAGTCGACATTCTCACAAACAGAACTCGTCGGCCATTGTTGTTGTAGTCCACCTACTTGGTCATGACTATCGACCGGATGTGGGTTAAGTCTACGTTTTTAGAGAAACAGCGTTTTTCCAGTCTACACATCGACGGAGAAGCTGCTGTTTAAAAAAACACGTTTGCACACCCAAAATGGCGTTGTCGTGTAACCACACAGCCAAAAGGCAATGAAAGGTTACCGTGTTATTATGATTGTTGTCGTGTAAACGGGGCCTCAGAGTTTGTAGAACCTCCTTTCTGAAACGGGCCCCGGGTTTAGACCGTACAAACATCAATCCACCAAGAGCGAGCGCTCTGCAGCGGTTGTAAGGAAACACGTTCTTCTCAACCGGCAGAAACGTCGAGCCGAACTGAGCTCATTGGTGAACAAGCAGCTGACGTGACCGGATGAACCGAGAAAGTGGGATAGACGAGAGATGGGTTGAGACAGAGCAACAACAACACAGCAGATAATACCAAGCTATGGCTCCAGTGTCAATGATTATAGTGTGATGTAATCAGGAAGTTTATTAACAATCATTTAATATTCAAACAGCTGTAGTGACTCATTTTAAATACGCTGTGAATATGTGACAAATATTTTAAAAAACACTCACACTTCATCAAACCTGGTGTCAACCACTGGACTCCAGTAGGCTCCAACCTGAAAGAGAGGGGGGGGGGCAGATTAACACATCCTCTGTGACCACAGAACATGGACATTACGTCACTCATATTAAATATATTCAACTAGCCCGTGTTTGTGCTCATGCATGAACTGTACCTTTCTAATAATCATAATAATGTTTGTTTATATTTTTACTCATAACTTCTAAAACTTAACGCTCATAGTTCAGTGTTTTACCCTCGTGTGTGACCCAGACAGACAAAGATCTCATCATACCTGAGAGTGTCCAGCTTTGATTGTGAATTCTGTAGACCGGTCAACAGCGTTAATCCTGTGATTCCAGGATGATTGTAGCTCAGGTCCAGCTCCTTCAGATGGGAGGGGTTTGAGGTCAGAGCTGAGGCCAGAGATCTGCAGCCTTTCTCTGTGATCAGACAGCCTGACAGTCTGCAGACACAAAAACATCACATGTGCGAGGTCATCCATAGAAAAGATTATCCTGACTCTATAACTACTGCAAGTGCCATCAATGAAATGGGACCATGAATGTTGACCTGAGAGTTTCCAGTCTGCAGTGTGGACTCTGTAGTGTTGTAGACAACAGCTGCACTCCTGAATCCTGCAGGTCGTTGTTGTTCAGGTCCAGCTCTCTCAGACTGCAGGACTTGGAGCTGAGGACTGAGGACAGAGCTTCACAGCTTCTCTCTGTCAGGTTACAGCTACTCAGTCTGGGGGAGAAAACAGTATGAAAACAAGTTATAAATATATATGTTATAAATCTCAAGCCTGCAGCTTCCCTGAGCGAGAAGTAGGTGGAGTCACTCAGTGTCATGACCAAATATAAGAAACAGGTGATCCTTACATGTGGGCATGTCACCCGCTGTCACTCTGCAACCATGTTTCCACTGCTCTGCAAATTCAGTTTGTTCATGGCTGTAAATTCTGATTTAGCCTGATCCTGTGAAGCTTAGATTCCATATAGTGCCCTCTGCTGGTGACAGAGAACTGCTAGTGTAATACAATGAAACTCAAATGAAATGCTATTTGAATGGTGAAGAAATCGAGTAATATCGGCGCATATCGGAGATAAAATTAGCCGATACTGATAGTCACTGGACATGCTGATATCGGCCGATATTATCGACTGGCCGATATTATCGACTGGCCGATAAATCAGGCGGGCTGTTTGATGTCGTAAGGTCAATGTGTGATGTCATAAGGTGGATATTACTTTGGACTCGTCAGCTGAGCTGTCTGAGAGTTTGTTAAAGTGAAATGAAACAATCAAAGATGCAGCAGTGTCCTTCTTTTACATCACTGAGACTACAGGGAGACACTGAGGACGAGTATCTACAAAGAGCCTGAAGGGACAAAATAACATGAGATTAATGTGATTTAAATAAATTGATGCTTTCAATTTGGACCCTAATCGCAACAGGATTAACGTGTTAATGCTGGCAGAGTTTTGTCACAAGTGGTAGACTAGTTTGTTTTCTGTTGAAAATAGTAGATCATTTATAGATGAATAAACTTACAGAACTTTCTGGGAGACTTTGATCACAGGCAGCAGCCTCAGAAGAGCCTCCTCTGAAGCAGAGTATTTCTTCAGGTCAAACACGGTCAGATCGGTTTGTGATGACAGTAAGATGAAGACCAGAGCTGACCACTCAGCAGGAGACATTTTACGTTTAGAGAGACATCCTGAATTCAGGGACTGTTGGACCTGCTCCACCAGAGAACGATCATTCAGTTCATTCAGACAGTGGAACAGATTGATGCTTTTCTCTGCAGACAGATTCTTACTGATTTTCCTCTTGATGTACTCGACTGTTTCCTGATTGGTCTGTGAACCTCCTGTCGATGTCAGAAGGCCTCGCAAGAGAGTCTGACTGGTTGACACTGAAAGGCCCAGGAGGAAGCGGAGGAACAAGTCCAGGTGTCCATTCGGACTCTGTAAGGACTTGTCAACAGCACTCTGGTAGAAGTGTGTCATTGAAGTTTCTCCATTTCCTGTGTCACACTCCTGGGAGGTCAAAAACTCTTCTGACATCAGATTGACTCCAGAGTTGATGAAGGTCAGATGGACATGAAGAGCAGCCAGAAACTCCTGAACACTCAGATGGATGAAGCAGAACACCTTGTCCTGGTACAGTCCTCTCTCCTCTTTAAAGATCTGTGTGAACACTCCTGAGTACACTGAGGCTGCTCTGATATTGATGCCACACTCTGTCAGGTCTGAGTCATAGAAGATCAGGTTTCCTTTCTGCAGCTGCTCAAAAGCCAGTTTTCCCAGAGACTCAATCATCTTCCTGCTCTCTGGACTCCAGGGTGGATCTGTCTCAGCTCCTCCATCATACTTGATGTTCTTCAGTTTGGACTGAACCACCAGGAAGTGGATGTACATCTCAGTCAGGGTCTTGGGCAGCCCTCCTCCCTCTCTGGTCTTTAGCACATCCTCCAGAACTGTAGCAGTGATCCAGCAGAAGACTGGGATGTGGCACATGATGTGGAGGCTTCTGGATGTCTTGATGTGGGAGATGATTCTGTTGGCCTGATCCTCATCTCTGAATCTCTTCCTGAAGTACTCGTCCTTCTGTGTGTCAGTGAACCCTCTGACCTCTGTCACCATGTCAACACACCCTGAAGGGATCTGATTGGCTGCTGCAGGTCGTGTGGTTATCCAGAGGCGAGCAGAGGGAAGCAGGTTCCCCCTGATGACGTTTGTCAGCAGCACATCCACTGAGGTGGACTTGGTAACGTCAGTCAGGATTTTTGTGTTGTGGAAGTCCAGAGGAAGTCGACACTCATCCAGACCGTCAAAGATGAACACAACCTCTTCAAACCTGCAGATTCCTGCTTCTTTGGTTTCAGGAAAGAAGTGATGAACAAGTTCCACCAAGCTGAACTTTTTCTCTTTCAGCACATTCAGCTCTCTGAAAGTGAATGGAAATGTGAAATGTATGTCCTGGTTGGCTTTGTCTTCAGCCCAGTCCAGAGTGAACTTCTGTGTTAAGACTGTTTTCCCGATGCCAGCCACTCCCTTTGTCATCACTCTTCTGATTGGTTCATCTCTTCCAGGTGAGGCTTTAAAGATGTCTTCTTGTCTGATGGTTTTTTCTGGTCTGTCTGGTTTCCTGGATGCTGTTTCAATCTGTCTGACCTCGTGTTCATCATTGACCTCTCCAGTCCCTCCCTCTGTGATGTAGAGCTCTGTGTAGATCTGCTTCAGAAGGGTTGGGTTTCCTGCTTTAGCAATCCCCTCAAACACACACTGGAACTTCTCCTTCAGGTTAGATTTGAGTTTCTGTTTGCAAACTGAAGAAGGGCTACCTGAATGAAGAAACAACAAATAAGACCAATAAGTTATTCATAAAGAATATGACAGTTAGACTCCTCAGAAGAAAGCGAACATCAACCCTGTTCAGATCGCCATTTCAAGACCGATGTTTACGTCCTTGTGACACTTCACCTTCAATCTGAATGTTGCGGAAGTGACCCCCCCTCTGTACCGTCTTCACAGGTACTAACAGTGATGTGAATGTGAAATCACAGTTCAAAGACTGGGCCACCAATATCACGCCGTCACAGAATCAATATGAACACACAAAGACGGGATGACAGTTGAGCTAAGTTACGGCTCTTTGGTGGAAACCCAATCTGAAAATGGCATGTGACACGTTTCATACCAGCGTTTCCCGCGGCACTTTACAGTCGAGGCGGACGCCTTACCAACATGCACCCTCAGCCTTAACTACAGTTTCAGAAACAAAAAACAAATTGATTGAAATCCTCCTGGTGAATTTCCTGCAGGAAACACTTCTCCCTATACCTCTAAACATCATTAATCCAGCATGTAAAATCTTTTCAGAAATCCTCTTACTCCTCTGCAGCAGGTCGGCCAGCACATCCTCATTCATTCTCCTCAGGAAGTCCACTGTGATCTCTCGAAATGCCTCTCTGTTGATCCCTTCATCCTCGACACCCCTCGGACTCTCAAACATTTCTGGGTGACGCAGATCCTCCTGAAACTTATTGAGCTCCTCTTCCACAAAGTTGATGATGTCCTGCCGGAGAACCTGGAACAGATAATTAAATCAAACTAAATCTTAAAACCAAATATCAGATCCATGTTTGATACATGGTGAATTTCATTGGTCTGAAAGTGCAGCATGGTAATTGTTGTGAACAGATCAGATGTGAAAACAACTGTTGCACATGTACAGACCTGAAACACTTTGTTGAGCTGCTGGACATCCTGGTTACTGGAAACGTTGGAGCTCTCTTGGTTTGGTCTGTGGAGGGATCATGTAGAATAGCAAAGCTCCAAGCAGTGAAGAACACAACGTAAATGTGCTGTAAAATGGCTAAATTACAATTTGCTGTTAAGATTCAAGTCAGAACTCTGATAAGTGCTTCTAATAAACAAGTGTTTTTGCAAAGAGTGTTTCTTTAGGCCCTCTTTAACTGACCCTAGTGTTTAAAATGGGTACTGCAGTCTAAATTCTAAACATTGTAGAGAGCCCTAAAACGGCCGTGTGGGGGTCGCCTTAAAAGCGCCTACCTTCTCTGGTCCAAATAAATCCAGAGCATTCAGGAGCAGAATCTAAAGTTAGAAGGAGGACATACTGGCTGCTGCATTGTAGTAATATGTAATCTTACATATCGCTCCTTTAAGGTGGCCATGTGATTCAGAGACTTGTAGTTTCAGAATAAATGTAGGAAGTAAAGAAACAAGCAGGATATAAATATACTCTCCATGAAAATTAATTCATAATCTTTGAGTTTTATATATTATGTCATAAACAGCTTACCCATGTGGAAGAGAAGCTGGTTGTGCTTTAAAATCAATTAAGCGCCCAGCTGACATGTCGCTCATTGCAGACTGACAGCTGGGTCCAGGTCCAGGTCCAGGTCCGGGTCCAGGTCCAGGTCTAGGTCCAGGTCCAGGTCCAGGTCCAACAGCTGGTTGTCTTTTCTTGCTGTTAAACACAGAGGAAGACCAGGATGTTAATATTCTCATGTCTCAGGAAAAAGGAGCAGAGATGAAAACACCAAAGTTTAATGATCTGGTTATTTTACATTTAGTGGAATTTAGATCAAATGAATATCTCACCTCAGTGAATTTGAGAACTGTTGTCCTAAAACTTCAACACGGCCATCCGTCGACCCGTCACCTTTAATGGACTTAATGCCTGGTGCAGGCACAGATCCATGTCCAGTCCTAAACAAGGTTAGAGGGAAAGGGGGGGCGTTGCTTTGGGCTTCAACATAAAACAAACAGCTTGAAGTGTTGTTAGTGTTTAGGCGTATAGGGCTGTCAGCGTTAACGACCTCTTTAATGGAGCAGGTCCATAGCTGTAGTAAGGCAATGCAGGAAGTACTTTACCCCTGACTTAGGCCTAGTCCACATGTAGGTGGGTATTTTTAAACGTAGCTTTTTCTGTGCGTTTTGGTCTTTAGAATACAAACTGCATGTTAGGTTCCTGAAAACGTACCTTTCATCAATCAATCAATCAATCTTTATTTGTAGAGCGCCAATTCATCTGTGTTATCTGGAGACGCTTTACTAAAGATCATATGTGATAATATGCAGGAAGGATTTCTCCTTTGTATTCCTCTCGTTCCTGTTGTCCACACTTCCTCCCCGCTGAGGTGGAGGTCGGAGCAGGCCGTAAAACTCCTTCCAGGGTGAAGATGGTCATTGTGCAACACTGTCACTTAAGTTTACACGAGATTAGTGCGATGGCAGACGTCACCAAACTAGTGGAAAGCTATATGAGCCTGTGCTAATACTTTTAGAGTGGCAGCTTTGCTTTTGATGCATCTACTGTCGCACATGTGCAAGGCTACTCAGGTAGACTACTTCCTGTTTCTATTGGCTTTCCCACAGGGCAGGTAGGTAGATTGCAGGCAACATTTTTTTCCCCTGGCAACCAATTCGACTATAAAGTCACGTCGCCCGCCTCTTCTGGTCACCTCTTTTATTTAAAGTTTACTTTTTGGGGGGCTTTTATAGACCATTATTGTAGAGACAGGATAGTGGATTGTTACGAGCTAGCACCGGCTACACAAAACTAGCCCTAACCTGAAGTGTGACAGAGAAGTCAAGAGATGACAAGTACGGAAAGGACTGATTCTCACACAGGGAAAACATAAGGTTAGGTCAGCTCACCTATACGCAGGCCTGCCGGGGCACCGACGAGAGAGAGAGAGAGAGAGAGAGAGAGAGAGAACGAGACAGAGAGAGAGAGAGAGAGAGAGAGAGAGAGAGAACGAGACAGAGAGAGAGAGAGAGAGAGAGAGAGAGAGAGAGAGAGAGAAAAGACAGAGAGAGAGAGAGAGAGACAGAGAGAGAGAGAGAGAGAGAGAAGAGAGAGAGAGAGAGAGACGAGAGAGAGAGAGAGAGAGAGAGAGAGAGGAGAGAGAGGAGAGATATCAAACCTGGGAAGCCAGGTGGCTGTAATAGTCAAGGACTACAGCCTCTGTACATGGGGCACGACCTCTAACCACTAGGCCACCAGCGCCCCAAATTCACCTGTTGTCCAGAATCTGGTTTATTTTTGTCAAACAGTAAAATGAGGATTATAAGAGGAAGCGGTCAAACTGTCTTGCTTCAGTTCCAGCCTCTGTTTTACTGGACTTTTAAAAACCTGTCACTTTTTATTTGATTTCAGATGGTCACATGTTCCTCTGACTGAGAAAGATGACTGACCAAATGTAGTCCTGAGTTTTGGTGCTCTACAGTTTCCCCCTGAGGTCGCCCTCCCTCTCATTTCACTGCTCGGTTAGTTTACCAAAACTGTAAAAACTCAGTATCTTGTGTTTCTTTAGAAGGAGGCGATGGTGCCATCTGAATTCTTTCTGATCCGGTATTTCCAGTGCCTGTTTAATGAACGGGTGTGTGGCTGGCCTCGCCCAAAACAGGAGGCCTTGTCCCGGCAGCAGAAGCCAGGCTCTCGAGTAGACAGAGCTCCCCCAACCTACAACAAGGTGATCCGGCTCTACCACCACCCGACGTCCCTGACGCCCAGCCTCCACCATTGGACCGTGTCGTCCCCTAAACCACCTCCGTCCTCCTTCATACACTACCTGCTCCGACCTCCACCTCAGCGGGAGGAAGTGTGGACAACAGGAAGGAGAGGAATACAAAGAAGAAATCCTTCCTGCATATTATCCCTATGCTCTTTAGTAAACAGTCTCCAGATAACACTTGTTGTGAATTGGTGCTCTACAAATAAAGATTGACTGATGACATACATAATCTGCTGTTCTGCTTTTAGACCTTTGTTCAACTTTGTTCAGACAGTTTTGCACGACTTATCAAGTTTGTCAAATTGAGAATCTAAAACAACCTGAACTCATGTCCCGCTTTTATCTCTTTCTCATGTATCTCTATTCTAAAATGATCCTTTAATTCTCTTTATTTGTTCTCTTCTCTGTTTTGTCTGACTGTTGCTGCTCTGTCATATTCTTTGTCTTCAAAACACTTGAAAACATGTGTTTTTAAATGTGATAGGCCTAAATAAATAATGTCATGATTATTGTAAAGGATCTCACCGGATGTTCGGCTCCATGCTGTTTGACCGTCGACACGCTGATAGGCTTCTGTCAGACTTGTTGGCCCATGGTGACTAAAGTTCAAAACAAATGTAAACTTTCAAAACGACCGAACTCTTCTTCACTCACAGCTCACTTTCTGCTTCTCCAAAGTGTTTATGACGCAGAGAAAACTGCGCACTTCTTCAAAATAGAGGCGTCAAAAGCGAAAGTAAAAAATCTGCAGCTGTCTCTGTGACGTCATCTGACGTTACACTGGTGGAGTTTAGTTCAAAAAAATGTCCGACCTCATGAACTGACCCGAGACAAACTCTATTTCATGGAGGGGGATTTTCTGAAACTCCTCATCCTGAAGCAAAAAACAACAAGGACGGTGTTGATCCGTCCGTCGGTATGGAAGCCCGTTAGGGACAGGAGAAAAAAAAAGAAGAAAACTTTGCTTTGCATTAAAACTGCTCACATTGAGTCAAATCTCATAATTATGACTTTTTATGAAATAATTATGCCTTTTTAATCTCAGAATTTTTCTTTTTTCTTTTTTTCTTTTTTTCTTTTTTCTCGTTGAAACTCAAAATTAGATTTTTGTAAACAAAGCAAAGTTTTCATTTGTTTCTCTACATCATTGATTAAAATAAACTAAAAACTAAAACCCTTGTTGGTACGCCAGAAAAATACAAAGGTTCAGTACAGGTTACTCACCTGAGTGTGTGTTTATTTTACGACTTACAAACTCATTCTGTTAGATTTTTTTTCCTTGTTTAAACTATAAATGTATTTTGTTAAAGGAAGAATGTGCAACTTTTTGACCCAGTAGATGTCGCCCTTTTTTTCGGTAAGTGATATAGTAGTGTTATATTTACTGTATACTTGTGTGTCTGTATTTATATTTACAGACCTTTAGCTTGTTTAGCATTAGTTTGTAAACCAGTCGGCTAACTGTGTAGCTCATTATTTACGGTCATGGTTTAGAAATGTTTTGTTAAGATGTTGAAAATAATGAGTTTGTGTGATGTTAGAAGCTAAAGGTTCATCTCGGTGGTTAACCACAGACTGTAAATATGGTTATCTGACGTTATGATGAATGTTATACTCCACCTAAATGTGGACATTAAAAAACAAACTTTGTGTAGTAATTATCCGTCAGTAACATAAACTGAACTGAACCTAATGTGCTGTGTAGGTTATAGAGGATGACATTAAAGTTACATGGTTGATGTAGTGTCTTAAGATTTGAGCAAACTGTTAACAAATTAAAAAAACTTCACTTTGTAAGAGCATCTGTAACCATTAAGAACTATATTAATAACCATATTAATTTTCACTGAACTCATACACAGAATATAGCAGTAGAAATATAAAATATAAATAACATATGGAATGAAAATAAGATATAAAGCGCATAGATATAAAGTATAAGAAATAGTTTGAAGAATACAGCCATGTACTGAGCTCATGTTAATAATAAATGAGTTACTGTATGTTCTGTACTAAAGCACAGAGAGTTGGGACCTGTTAATGATTTAAATAATTCAGGTTATATTTGTTTCATGTTAAGATGAAGTACTATCCACAATAAACTGCTTAATTTTTCCTCACACAAATCTGAGACATTTGATGTGGAATATCATTGTGTGAGTGAGAGAGCTGAAAACAGCATGATTACAATAATGTTTATCTTCTTAACTTTGAATAGATGTTGATTACCTGAATACTGGACCTTTGTTGTCTGGGTAGTACACTGTTGAATTTATAAATGTGCTCTTACACACAGATGAATACAGAAAAATAGATGAGAACAAACAAAATGATTTAATGAATAACTGATATTTTCTCTCTTTCTTTGTCATCCTGAAGAACCCTCACTAAAAGTCCATGTTCTCCTGGATCCATGTCACATGCTCGAGCTTCTTCTGAATAACATTTCAACAGTCAAAGTTCTGCTGAGAGAAGATGGCCAGCAGATAAGACAGCAGTACATGAAGGAGCTCCACAGCTTCAGGAGGAGGAGGAGGGTTTGCACCTTGGAAGACTGTATTCATGCTGTTCAAATAAAAATAGATCTCCTCCAAACAACTTGCAATCAAACCATTTTCTTCCCATTTTAAAACCCTTTGTCCAGTTTAGATGGGAGAAGTTGATATTATGTGATATTGATCTGGGAAGACTACATTTCTAAATCATTTTTAACTGTTTTTATTCACAAGTTATTGATCTTATTTACTCTCCATGTATCTTGATTTAAGAATGGGGCTGTGTTTAAGGTCATATTTTTGCAATGACTCTGTTCCATCCCACTTTCAGAAATGAATTGCATTAGTATTTATCAAAAGAATAAAAGTTGTGTAAAAGTAGACTTCCTTCCCTAAGCTATTGAGTTGAGCATTAATGCACATTTTAGTCTTGTCATTTCAAATCTGAAATGTATACTCATAAGTAGAGACAAAGGAGTGCATTTATATAGAAATATTTATTTAATCTGAAAAACAACATTAAAAAAAGTCTGTTTTTACAGCAGAGATGAACATGTTTACAGCTTGGTACAAAACAAACAAATAGGTGTGATTAGCTCATGTCTGGATGGACACACACTGTACGGGGGGTGAATGTTTTGATGACTCATCAGTTTTGATTTGATGAAGGATAAGAGTTATTCACAATAAGGCGTGTAGCTGACCTGATTGACAGGTGGGCGCGGTGTAACGGTTTGTCAGGAGGTTTAAAACCCGCCTCAGCTCTCAGCCTGTGGGTGACATCACTCAGGCCATCCGGAGGAGACCTCCCTCACAGCGAGCTGTTGAAGAGAAGCAACTGAAGTCCACCCCAGAAGAACCAACAAATACAGATGTTGTTGAGGCTCAGGTTTCTTCCTCTGTCTCTGCAGCTCTCTGGGCACCTCGACGGACCAGTCACCAATAATCCACACTGTGTCTATAGGAGAAATACAAAGGTGTTCAATTAATGCCTCAGACAAGACAAAATGTACAGTTAACTACATGTGACAGCTCAGGCTGTTTTTTTGTTATGAGCCACATCTGCAGGAATAATATTGAACAAGGTAGCTGCAACTCATCATAATAGATGCCAGTCTTAAACACTATTTTTTCTAATACTTAAAGTTTTTGGTGTGAAGCTGACACTGTCCACAGACTCCATGACTTCACAGGTTCTATAGAAAACAAACGTCTTATAATAAATATTAAATAATTATTTTTCAGTTGTCATGTTCACCTCATCACTGTTGACATCAGTAAATATAAAACACAGACATTCCTCTTTTTGTCAGAACAGTAACATGAACTGTATGCTTTGTAATATTGATTTCTTCTGGATGTCTCATATTTATTTACAGTTTATGGATAAAACTTTGTTAATGTATTTCTCTGCTAACACTGACAAAGTCTAACTGCTCTGACAAATAACTAATAACCATAGTTGTATATTTAACAAAGTGTAGTTTTAAGACTTTAATTAAATATTTGTGTTGAATATAATTAGTTTTAACTGTGTTGTAGAAAAGTTAAATGTTAACTTACTGTTTGTAGAGTTTTCTCAGGACGAGCAGGAATAGTTGATGATAGCAGCCTAGCTGTTAGCGATGCTGTCAAGTGGACTGCTGATGTCGAGCTGAATGGGCGGAGTTAAGTCCCGCCGGTCCCGCCTTACTGCTGTGGGTTAGGTTGATCCGAAGTTAGGTTGAGACTGCAAATCCAATATGGATGCGGCCGTCGATTGGACTCATTTTCTGCCTATGTCACAGACGGGTCAGGGTTCGTCCAGTAATATTTACAGTCTATGCTTTATAATAATGAATCTGAATAATAGCAGAATGAAGCTTAAAAAAATGAAATCATATGTTGTTATGTATCATCATAAAGAACAGAATAATTAAACAATAAAATTATATTTATTTATAGGTATAGTTGTAGTTCTTGCGCTCATCCAGCAGATGGTGCTGTACATCCATTCACCCCAGACCACGCCCATCTGATGTCCGCCACCCGGGATATCCAATAAGAACAGTGACGGGGAGGTGTCGGACATCTGACCCCGCCCTATTCCACGATCAGTGGCGAGGGGTTACTGCTGTGTGATGGTGTAGTTACAGCTGATGTCCACTTGGAGGTTCAGTGTACCGTATTTTCCGCACTATAAGGCGCACCGGATTATAAGGCGCACCTTCAATGAATGGTCTATTTTAGAACTGTTTTCATATATAGGGCGCACCGGATTATAAGGCGCATAGAATAGAACGTGTTTACAACTGAACAAGGCTGGGAGATATTGTGAATATATAAATATAAATACGTATAAAACGTAACGTATAAAACTACAAAAACAAAAGTACATAAGACGATTTCCCCAAATAATAAATTATTTCTTTGACGTTTCTCTTAACTCTCAAAACGTAGTTTTATACGTAGTGCATTCACAATAACTCAACGTTGTTCAAACGTTAATGTGCATATTCACAATATCTCCCAGCCTTGTTCAGTTGTAAACACGTAAAAGAAACACAGTCTGATACCGCTAATTCAAACGTTAGTGCAGGGGTGCCCAAACAGTCGATCGCGATCGACAGGTAGATCGCTGACTGATTCTCAGTCGATCGAGATGTTTTGTCAATATAAAATACAATTGTAAAATAGAAAAGTGATTTCAATTTCATCTCATTGCACTGTTTCCCACACACGATACCTGTGTTGGGAGCCCAAGTATACTTCCGACCTGTGTGTATTTAATTTTTCATTTATTCATGAAATTGCTGCTTGCATGAGAGAGCGAGCGAGGAGCGAGAGAGAGAGAGAGAGAGAGAGAGAGAGAGAGAGAGAGCGGAGCGAGAGAGAGAGAGCGAAGAGAGAGTGCAGGCATGCGCAATGACGTGCAGGTAAAACCGGGGGCTAAATGTTTTACCAAAAAGTCATATATAGAAACTATGCTACGAGTATTAAGCGCATTTGATGAAGCTGCAGCTACTTTTCTCTGCTCCTCTCTGCTGTCATGACTGTGAGCATCGCGGGGCACGAGACACACCAACAAACAGCGCAAACACACACGCACACGCACACACCACACGCACACACACACACCAACACACACCACACACACACACACACACACACTTGCACTGGAGCGCCAGCCACCACGCGAACCTTTTTACTTTTTACTTTTAGTGCTACAGCACACAGTTGATCCGTGATCCGTACGGACCGAGGTGGGAACACGTGACCCGGTCAAACAGTCGGTTGGACTTTACTCCGTTCACTCTCACCGTGTCTGCAGCTAATTTAACAAAAGCAAAATCATCTCACAGCAGCCTGCTG